AAGGCAGATCAAAAACCCATATCACCACAGTGTTACGTAACATAGGAAGATCAAAAAACCCATATCACCACAGTATTACGTAACATAGGGCAGGTCAAAAACCCATATCACCACAGTGTTACGTAACATAGGGCAGGTCAAAAACCCATATCACCACAGTGTGATGTAAGACGAGGCAGATCAAAAACCCATATCACCACAGTGTGACGTAACACAAGGCAGATCAAAAACCCATATCACCACAGTGTTACGTAACATAGGGCAGGTCAAAAACCCATATCACCACAATGTGATGTAAGACAAGGCAGATCAAAAACCCATATCACCACAGTGTGACGTAACACAAGGCAGATCAAAAACCCATATCACCACAGTGTTACGTAACATAGGGCAGATCAAAAAACCCATATCACCACAGTGTGAGGTAACACAGGGCAGATCATAAACCCATATCACGACTGCGAGGTAACGCAGGGCAGATCATAAATCCATATCACCACAGTGTTACATAACATAGGGCAGATCAAAAACCCATATCACCACAGTGTGATGTAAGACGAGGCAGATCAAAAACCTGTATTTACTATGCAGTGTTACGTAACACGGGGCAGATCAAAAACCCATATCACCACAATACGCTGCTTCCAATCTTATGTACAGTCCAATAACTACGGATTGTGTTATCAATGGTTCATTTTAGCAAGCTCAGGTGTGTATTTTTGTAATTATTACGTAACACTGAAGATCTGGAATATTGGTAGAAAAATTAAAAAAATCTCTATGAATTTCAGCAAATATCAAAACGAGCAGAATTGCCATACAGCAAACACAAATTGTTTACGTGAAATACATCATGCATTATCATAATGATATATTTTTATTTAAAGAAATTTAGTTTTTTGAATCAAGTCTCTTAAAACATACATTTCAGTGTATGAAATACTTTAGACTCAATATACTCCGAAATTCCCCCATTTCTTTATATGTGCATTTAATTTCCCTTTTGGTTGGCTATAATGATATATTTGTATTTTGTATTTCGGCAGTAGTTCCACTGTCCCATGAAATTTTTTCTTATGTTGACGTATGCGGCTTGAATAGATACAAAACCTTGGAGTAATGTCTGCTGAAATCATCCTAAGAGAAAATCCCTTGCGATTTGTATCCCATGATTCTATTGTGCAGTCTCAGAATTGACAGTTTCCCTATAATCCACAGAACTTGTTTACATTATGTGCAGGTGTGTGTGCCCAGTGACTGCTTGGTAAGAACTGGTCATTTGCACTTGAAGATAAAATAACGGCATTACTTGATGTTGCTGTTGTTATTATGTACATGTATGAGCACAAGCCTGTTTTGATTTGTTATAATTGCACATCTGCATACTTGTTGCCAAAAATGTAAACATATGATGACACAGAGCGACTGCTTATAAAAAGCATGATTACCGGTAATTAAATCTCAATGGGTTCCATGCAACATATAGAATGCATGTAGAACACAATGACTGGTGCTTTATCATGTGTTTTTTTATTCCCCTACACATTTATTTATAGATTTATCTCTAACTAAAGTACAATATTTTTAGAATTCATTTACCACAACAATAACAGACATTTATGTTAGTTGTGGCCATCAACAATGTGATAGAATCACATAGAATAGAATAGAATCACTGATTAAATAAAATAACAGACTTGTATTTGATAGGGAAGTGATGTGAAAATAATTTATAAAATGTCTACATATTTGTTTTAAACAGTGTGTTCAGAATTCAATCACACTCGTACATGGAACGTGACACGATTTCGTGGCATGCTCTCAACACAGCCTGGCTCAGCTCCTGTTGCATCATTCAAAGTGTTATCCTTGGAAGACGGTGAACCACATCGGAGTTATCAAGCTGGAAATGATATTGGTGAGTGTGATGTATATAAATTTCTGAATAAAATAATATCATACTCATATCAATT